GCCCTGAGTGAGCTGTCATCAGTCCGCCATTGTTTCATCGCCGGAGCAGATGTAGACAAGAATGACTCCTAAGCGATTGAGGTGTTCTGTTGTTGGATGTAATAATGAACAGCAGTCGTCATTTACTCCTGACATCTGAGCCGCTGAACTCGCAGTGGATTACATTGTTTCTGAAGGGAATGCGCCCCCGATCTACATAAACGCGTCACTCATGATCCAGCCTCATCTACAGAAGAAGTGAGTATAATGTTTTGTAATGAATCTTTGCAAATCGCCTTTCCTAATAATGTGCTAATTAGCAAGTTTCACGATGAATGCGGCGGAAGTAAACAGTCTCTCTGAGAGCAGCGTGGAAGAGAGGGGCGGGGTCAGCATAGTTAATTAACATTTAAAGGAAAATGCTACAAAAATGGCTTAATCTGAAAAGAGCTGTTTTTGACAGGGTAAAAAAGGTGTTTTTTACACTACCATTGAGAAATTTTAACCAAGCTATGTTACAGACTTTTCATTAAGACTCTAAAGAATCATATCAACTTGTGGAAAATGGGTATCCTATGACCCCTTTAAACTCTGAAGGAATAGAAACATCCTAAATGTTAATTTATTGTTAAAAATGTTAAGCATACCTTCTGTCGTACTGTCAGAATTCGCTCTCATTTTCCTTCACTCCTTTAAGTGGACTATATCAGTGGACTAATGTAGGGAATAGTGAATGAGGGTATATGGGCTGATTTTGGACATAGTTATTGTGTACAAAACCAGCATCATTAAAAATTTGCATAATTCACGTGCAAGTTTTGAGATCAGTGATTGAACAGATTGGTATTGGTGGGGGGAAAAAACGATATAGGGTCTGAAGGTGGGGCTTTATTCAGCCACAGCATAGCTGTGTACAAGTGAGTTAATGCGATTTACTAATTATTCAAACATTATTTTTTGTAATTTGTCAGTTGTGAATGAAATATATGAATGTATAGGGATCCTGTAATTAACTGTATTACTTAAATATCATATAATACAGTATGCAAATAACTTGAAAGATATAGGTTTGATAGAGAAACACTACTTGAACAGTTAGCTCATTAGCTAACTTGCCATTAATTTAAACCTAATCATACAGTTAACTCGTAGGCTTATATCATAGATGGTTATTTATATACATGATATTATCATTTAGTGTTTTTTATTTATTTTATTTCAAATCCTGTTTATATTATAATCCATATGGTCTAATCAGAGGTGTAGTGAGGGTGACATTAATTTTCTGTTTGGACCGGATAGAAACTCAGAATATGTAAGAGAAGACATCTGTGATGTGGACCTGTTTGAAGTGACTATTATATGAAAGGAAAGTTATACAGCTGTTTAATTGTTTCTCTGATAGCTTGTGGCTCATTTTGTGTGAGTCTTGAAACCCTTCACAGCTCTTTTTTTTTCAGTTAGAAAGCAGCTAGCAGACTTGGTGATTGTGAAGATTATCAGACGAGAAGAAGTGATGCTTTCAGGTTTAACTTGTTTTTCATTTGCAATATAATTGTAACTGTAATATAAAATAGTCTATCCATCATAATAATGTGTTGATGAATTTAACTTTAAAATGTACAAAAGTTTCTTCAGGGGTTTCTTTGTCAGGAAGCTAATCACAGAAGCTGAGAAACATTTTCCAGAGTGCTGTCTGTGTCCTCCCCGGCCTTTTTGTTAAAACTGTTGTGTATTCTTATGGTTGAGTGTCAGTTTGTTTGAATTGATCTATAATCTGAGGTAATGTAAACTAATTTACTAAAATAGTGACTCCAACGTGTAACTTGTCATACTTAAAGTTAGGGCTTTTTTATTCCTTCATTTACAAGATGATTATGTTTGTAACTTCAGTTATAATTTTGAATATGTTTGTTTCTACCTTTTATAGAAGCTTTAGGGAGGTGGCTGCCATTCTTGTTGTATTTTCATTGTTTGCTCCTGTTTTGTGATTTGTTAGGCATTTAAAGTACTGTTTTGTTGTTAATTTGTTTTGTCTAAGCAGTTTAGTTAAGATTTTACTCCTCAGATTGGTGCTTTTTAAATCCTTTATTTTGTTGCATCCTCTGGAAACCCCTATATTCATGTAGCTATACACAGAGACGCTGAAGATTTTAAATAATAAAACCCGAAACTCTTCCTACTTGACATACTTGAGTTTGTCCAGTTTGCAGTTTCGATCCTCCAGTTTTTCAGAGAGCAGCTTGACTCCTGAATCTCCTGGGTGATTGTAGCTCAGATCCAGCTCTTTCAGATGTGAGGGGTTGGAATTCAGCGCTGAAGACACATAACCACAGCCTTCCTCTGTCACCATACAGCCAGACAACCTACAAAAACACAGCAACAGTCCACATCACATTATTTTGCAGGGGTGTGGACTCGAGTCACATGACTCGAGACTTGACTCGGACTCGAGTCCCAAATTTGATGACTTGCGACTCGACTCGACATAATTAAAGAAGACTTGAGACTCGACTTAGACTTTGACAGCAAGGACTCGAGACTTGACTTGGACTTGAGCCCTGTGACTCGGAAAGACTTTATGATCAGATCAAAGTCGTTATAGAGGCGTCCCTGCAGCGTGCTTGCGCTTGACTGGCAATAAGCCAGAGACTGCATTCAGGGAGCGCTGGATTTATAGGATAGTATACATTATATAGCGCTGGATTTATAAGATAGTATACATTAATGGAGTAATAACATAACTTACGACAAAAGAGCCGAGATAAGAAAAAATAAATAAAAAATTACATGATTCGTCGAGCGATCTCCGCTCGTGAAAAGCGCTGCCCTGTCCGTTTGATCGCCACCCAGCAGACACACGGAGCGGGCATGAGAAACGAGAGGCGCGGCCGCGATCACTTCCCTGGTGCTTGCCTCATCATCACTGTGACCGCTGCTGTTAAATATTCCTCACTTCTTTTGTTTGTTCGACACTGAGGTGCACCAAGAGTGACGGATCCGCATCCCGGGCATCCCGCTCGATGTGCTTTCATTTTTTTTTGTTTGTTTGTAATAAACACCTCTCTGAGACCAGTTTTTGTCAGATCTCCACTGTTTTTGTTCGATCAGTTACATATTTTATTTGCATGGGCATTTTATTGTATTTAAACCTCCATTAAGTTTAAAGTTAATCCATAATCGAGATTTCAATCGGAGTTTAAAGTTATGGTGCAACAGGATTAAAGTTAATCTTAAATATAACTTAAATCCGATCAAAATGATGGGTTAAAATGTAAACCTGCTTATTTTTAAAGGTTTAAAGTTTGGTGCAACAGAATTAGATAAACCTTGATTTAATCTAGATTTAAAATGAATCATTGCAAACAATTCAGCTATAATTTGAAGAAGAAAAAATGCACATTAGGCCTAATGTCTGAAGTGGGCAAGCGGCAATAGGCCTAATGATCATTTAAAATATAATTTGAAGAAGTGTTTCTTTCACAAAATGAGTATTGTGTATATATAACTATAAAATATAGGCGACTCAATTTTTCTCCCTCTTCACCAGGCACTGATGTCGCTTCCATTTCTTTCGGGATAAATGAATGAATTAATGTGTTGTAAATCAGTCTGTAGGCCAATAGCGCACATAGCCCCTAAATTTAGTGATCAACTATGCATATTATAAACATTTAACGTACAACATTTTTTTCTATTAAATTATTTTGTCTTTGTTGCTCTTAGTTATAAAGTATGGTAGCACAGCATTTTTTAATGATTGTCTTCATGAGTTTGCCTGCATCCAAATTGCATGTTTCCTCTCACTTGCAAAGTATGCTAGCAGTTGTTTCTTCTAGTTCTTTCAAAGCAGTTCTTTCTGCGTTTTCCGCTCACATATTTTTAAATCTGTTTCATTGAGGTTCCAAATGGCTCATTGGCTTCGATATAACACCTAGAAGCATATATTCTTATGTATACATGCAAAGTATGTTGCAGCTGTTATTTCTATGAAATTATGTTGTCTTTGCTATTCTGTTACTAATAAAATAGTTTACTGCTTATCCTATTTTGGCACAGTCCCTACATTGAACTTGAGTAGTTTTACTAAAGGCACCCATCTCACATGAAATTTAACTATGTCAAACATATTCTACCTGCCTTCCTGATATAAATTACTATGAATTTGATATGGTAATTAATACTGAGACACTAATTTGGGCAAAGAGCACTAATGACTTGTTTAAGACTTGAAGCTAAAAGTTGAGGACTTGCAACTCGACTTGGACTTGCCTGTCTTGACTCGGGACTTGACTTGGGACTTGTCTGTCTTGACTCGGGACTTGACTCGAGACTTGAATGCAAAGACTCGAGACTTACTTGTGACTTGAAAAACAATGACTTGGTCCCACCTCTGTTATTTTGTTCATTGCGTTCATCGTATTATATGTTGTATTATGTTGTAACAACTGTTCACAAACAAAGATAATTTTGCACTCATTTAACATCATCAGGAAGTAACAAATATTCCTCCAAATCATTGGACATTATACATCTTGCATTTAAATGCAAAAATAAATAAGGCATTAGATCTCTCACGCAGACAACAGTGGTGCAACACTGCTCCTGAAATCTTATGTTCACAAATTAGTGAAAGAAAGAATATAAAGATTAGAATACAAAGATTTTTGTTTTTAAATCTTGTTTATACAAAATGTATTATTTCTGTCAGGACCACTATCGTCAAAGATGATTGACGTATTAGCATACAGTTTGGATTGGCGGTATGGTTCTGTTCTGGGCAAGAACTCCCTGCGCATCCATGCAGCCTAGCATGGATGAGAGCAGGGAGAGCAGCGATTACCCCCCCCCCGGGTAAACGGAACAGAACCAACATAAATGTATTGCAGATATCGGTAAAGTTCAATAATGTTATGTACACATTTTAGAATTAGTCTGATTCAAAGGAGAATCAGAAGGCTGAATCCTGACTGACGGAGGAGGAGATGGGGATGGAGGAGGGTAATTCGCTATTGAGCAATGCGAAAACTGCTGACAATACTGAGGGACCTTATATATGAATGCTTAGATAGGTGTCGTATTCCCATAGGTTGATGGGGATCAGCTGAGAGTCAGCTGATGCGAGCTTGACTAACGTGACCTGCCAGAACTAACGCTATGCTAGATATTTTAATTCCATTTTATTGTTTTTAAACAAATTCAAGATAGATTTAAACCTTCAGTGTTCTTTTTTGCAACCATACTTTGCAAAAATGTCACTGCAGACCACAAAACCAGAGGGAGATGCATAATAGCTACTATACAGATCCATTCAGAATCACTAAACACATCAAAATAAAAATAAGTAAAAACATTCTTAATGTGTGGAAACTCAGCGATCTGAAGGTGACTTGACGTTATCATCAGTGAACAGTTCCTCTGTCAGAACAAGCGATCATGTCTGTGTTTGGTGCGTCTGAACATAAGACATGTACATAAACCAATATAAACCAAGCATCCCGCTGTAAATTAATTTTGACAACTACGTGAATATACTGAACTGTGTTCAAGCAGAAATATGATGTTATAGATCAGTGCTCAGAGATTGCACATACATAGTTCGTTTGCGCAAGGGCAGATTTACTGATTTGGGGGTCCCAGGCAAAACATAGGAACGGGACCTATACTGTACATTTTCACACATTTACCTGGATCAACTTGAGGTTCCTTTCCCTGTTGTGATGCTTGCTGCTGCACAACAGTGCCCTATAGTTATCCCCAAAGTTTCTACATTTTTCATGTACATGTTATTTCGCCCGTATAGTGTGAGCAGTCAAGACGCAGCTTGACGATCAGACCGTATAGTGTGAGCACATAAATCCTGAGCTTTGGCTTGACATTGCGTGAGATTTACTAACAAAAACATTGCTGAAATTGCACATTGTATGCCCGGCCTAACAGGGTCATAGAGTGTGAAAGAAACGTCAACATCACAAAAGCTGTAGCACTGAAAATCACAAATAACAATATATGGCCACAGCCATATCACCCTGCAGCCCAAGACTGGTCACCCACTTAAGCTAAGCATGGTTGAGCCTGGTCAGTACCTGGATGGGAGACCTCCTGGGAAAACTAGGTTGCTGTTGGAAGAGGTGTTAGTGAAGCCACCAGGGGGTGCTCACCCTGTGGTCTGTGTGGGTCCTAAAGCCCCAGTATAGTGATGGGGACACTATACTGTCAAAGAGCACCGTCTTTCGGATGAGATGCTAAACCGAGGTCCTGACTCTCTATGGTCATTAAAAATCCCATGGCACTTCTCGTTAAGAGTAGGGGTGTAACCCGGGTGTCCTGGCCAAATTCCCTCCACTGGCCCTTGTTAATCATGGCCTCCTAATAATCCCCATTCATTGAATTGGCTCTATGACTCTCTCTCCTCTCCACCTGTAGCTGGTGTTTGGTGAGCGCACTGGCGCCGTTGTACTGTGGCTGCCGTCGCATCATCCAAGTAGATGCTGCACACTGGTGGTGGTTGAGGAGAGATCCCCCCCTCATGATTGTAAAGTGCTTTGGGTGTACAGCAATACACAATAAAGCACTATATAAATGCATCATTCATTCATTCATTCATTCAATATGCTTAAAATCTTTGTAAATCAATGTTATTACACTTACTGTCAAATGCTTTACTTTTTTGGATCAATTTAATGGATCCTTGCTGAATGAAAGTATTACATTCTTAAACTCTTACTTACCCCAAATATTTGAATGCTTGTAGAAAAGCATGTTAAACGTGTGCACTCCCGAGTTTGCAACGTTGGTGAAACCAAAATTAAAAAGTTAATTTCATAAGATAAATATGAAATAATGGTAATTGGCCATTTTTTTTGTTGGTCCACAGTTCTATTTGCTGTCTGACACACTTAAACAAATGAAATTAGGGTTGTGTGATATTAGATCGTGAATGATTTAAATTTCTCCACAATCTGCCTTTGATCACAGTATCGTGCTACAGTTATTTTCATAAAAATGTAGTCAAAACAGGCTTGGCTCGATACCAGCAAACAGGGTTAAATGGGACAAGACAAAGAGTACTCCAAAGACATGTGTGGGTCGATCAGCTGCCAACATAATCCAAACAAGGCAATACAAAGGGGATAATCCAGACAGAGATACAGGCGAATGGTCAGGGCAGCCAGAGATTAAACAGACTAGATAAACAGGCTAAGATTGAGACATGGGAAATCAGGCTAGAACAAGACCGGACTATGACAAGGCCTAGGAACTAAGATAAGGAAATGGCTTTGTAATGCCGCAGTGGCTAAACAATACTCGGCCCTGACTGTATGTTTGTGTGTAAAAAAAAAAAGACTTTTAAAGAGTCCCTGATGGGAAACAGGTATAATGGTAATCAGTTCCTAAGTGCAATGGATAGTGGGAAATGTAGTCCGGGATAAAATGTAACAGTGTGTGCAGTGGAAAAGACTTAGTGGTGAGTGGTGACCTCTGCTGGTGAGAACAAGGACCGGACTTGTGACAGATATAACGTAACATTGTTGTAGAACATTGTTGTGTAATGCCTAATCATACGCTTGTTAAGAAATGGTGACAAAAGCTTGACTATAAAAAAAAATTCATCCAAATATTCGAATACAATATTTTTGAAAAATACCCATCCCTAATTTACACACATAAGAGCCCAGCAAACAAAACAAAATATTTTTTTTGTTGAAATTAGGTAATATTGCAATACAACATTTTACATTTTTTTTAGAAACCACAGCTTAAAAACAACATAACGCCATAAATTAACTGTTTTAGAAACATTGTGAAAGTACCAAACGGGTATGTTTTCTTTAAGTAGTCAAAAAACTAACAAAAAAATGTAAATATCAAGTGTTTACTACAAAAACAAAACCAGACCTTTTTTGCTCAGTTATAAAAAGTGAATTAGGCTTGGTTACAGACACAAACTTGATGTATAAGTTACACGAAAATGTATTTGATGCATTTGTTGTCATTCTGAGCTTGTAAATCAGGTTAAATCTGTAATATTCACAGAGACAGAACAGCCTTTTTGAATATGTATAATAAGCTTGTTTGTGTATTGAAAATCTGCTAATTTTCTTTTCATCATTTTCAAAATTTAATTTTAAAGATAACTGAGTGATGCGCTGGAGAGGTAGAAGCATAGAAAAATGCTATTCACACAAACATTATTAATTCTAATGTGCTCATATTGGGACATACTCAGACCTCAGCATTAGTTCTCAGGCATTTGACTGCTCAGGCTGGTTTAAACATCCCTTCTGGCTGCAATGACTATTAAAATGTGTAACTTCTGGATAATGATTGATGTCATTTGTGTGCTTAACTCCATTCATGAGAGCGGCATATTTAATCTAAATGTGTGTAAATTGAAAACATTCTGTTTACTTCATTTCAATCCAGGGCCATAACCACCATAGACACTAAGCACCACATGTCCTCACCAATAATCAGATATGGACAAATTGTCCTCGCATTATCTGACATTCTTACTACAGAAATTAGTTACTGTGAGCAGCATTTACTGCAAACAAAGTCATTTTGAGACGTGAGTTTCGTGTTAATGAATAGTGTCACACTCCTCTGTATATTGTATATGTATATAATCCTACAATTCTATAATTACACCACAATCTTCGCGATCTGATAATCATACTAAACCTTATCACATTCTCACAACCATGTATTATTAGAATTTATATAAAGTTATCAGCCATCTGGCATGTAATACCCTTTACATATACTCACCAAAGTTAAGATGCTAAGGGTGTCCTACATACAGCTGCTAGATAGCTTGTGCAGTGCTGTCAGAAGCTTTCTTTGAAAATGCAGCAGCTTTGCAGTTTATTTGGTCATTGTTTCAGATAATTTAGCCATTTCAATATTCATCTCAATACAATCCACATCTACAGACAGCTGTATAAATATAAAAAATTGCTTGCAAATGATGTTTATGTCTCTTGTTCTGACATTCCATTGAGAGTAGATGCAACTTTTGTTGACAAAATTCAATGGCCATATATTATGGTAGCATTTTGTTAATTATTATATGGAAAACCATTTACCTCAGTATCTCCAGCTGACAGTTTGGACTCTTCAGTCCTTCAGAAAGCAGCTTCACTCCTGAATCCTCCAGGTCATTGTTACTCAGGTCCAGTTCTCTCAGGATGGAGTTTGATGATTGTAAAACTGATGACAAACTCTCACAAGAGTGAGCAGTGAGATTACAAATGGAAAATCTGAACGAGAAAAACAGTAATTGCATACAGATTGCATACATACACCTTAGCAGTGTGATTTTTTAGTAATTAACTTGCAAAAAAAAAAAAAAAAGGAACCAAGTATTTCAAACTCAAACGTCAGTATCCCCAGCTGACAGTCTGGACTCTTCAGTCCATCAGATAGCAGCTTCACTCCAGGATCCTGCAGGTTATTGTTACTCAGGTCCAGCTGTCTCAGGAAAGAGTTTGAGGATAAAGATAAACTTCCACAGGATTGATCAGTGAGATTACATCCACACAGCCTGTGAAAAGAAGAAAACAAATAGCCATATGATTTATTTTTTTTTATTTAATGGGCTTAAAGTTTCTTATGAAATGCTGAGAGAATCCTTGCACAATTTTCAAAAGGCTGCCAAGATTGCAAAGGCAAAATATTTATCTGAAATTATTGCCAAATACTCTTACTCTTCTAGAATTCTATTTTCAACTATTGACTAAGTTTTAAATCCCCCAATGCAGAAATTTCCAGAGATTTCTTGTAAACTTTCTTAAGTACTTCTTAGATAAAGTAAAAAATGCCCGGGCTCATTTATCTACAATTGGCGAATTCTATTCCAGATCCCACTTTATCCACTACTCAATGGAGTGAATTTGAATTAGTCTCTTTACATACATGTAAAGAAATCACTCTAAAATTAAAATCCACCTTTTCCCCTCATGATGCTTTGACCACGATTTGTAAAAATTGATACAATCGGACCTGATTTAGTGAATATCATAAACAACTGCCTTTTGACAGGGACTGTTCCAGATTGTTTTAAACTAGCTTCTGTGTCACCGATCCCTAAGAAGCCTACACCTGATCCTGAAGTTTATTCAAATTTTAGACCAATCTCCAATCTGCCATTCTTATCTAAAATTTTAGAAAAAATAGTGTTTATTCAGCTGCAAAATTATTTGAATAGTAACAGTATTTCTGATGTTTATCAGTCTGGTTTTAAAACTCTACACAGCACAGAGTCTGCCCTTTTGAAAGTTTTGAATGACATTTTAATGTCTACTGATGCTGGTAATACTATGACCTTAGTGCTGTTAGATCTCAGCTCTGTGTTTGATTTTGTTGACCATGGTCTCTTGCTGTCTCGCTTGGAGCGCTACATTGGTGTTAGAGGCACTGTACTCAACTGGTTTCGGTTCTTTCTGTCCAACAGAAGATTCTCAGTAAATATAGGAAACATTCTTCTTCTGTAGTGCATGTTACATGTGGTGTCCCTCAGGGTTCAACTTTGGCACCGTTACTGTTTTCACTGTACATGTGCCACGTATCAGGCCTCTGTGGCTTCCTCTGATCACCTCCAGAGGGAACCGTCGCCAGAGTACTAATCATTTTGGATTCCATTTCCGACAACCCCGTACCTGCACACCTGATCCACATTACCTGGACTATTTAAGCAGCTCTCCAACACTCACTCACTGCGAAGTCTTGTTTTGCTACTGCTAACATTTCTGAGCATTTTCCCTGTTGATGGTTTTCCTGTGTATGATTCTGGACTGCTTTACCTCATTTGATTCTCTGCCGCTTACCCTTGTGACTCTGCCTGCTTGGATTACTCTCTGTCTGCTCTGCTTGCTACCTGCCCTGAACATTTGCCTGTGTACTGATTACGACTTGGAAATGACTGATGCTGCCTGTTGATCTCTGCCTGTTGTACCTTGAGTATTGTATAATAAAGCCTCATATGGATACCAATTCTGCTGACTCCTCGTTACAATATGTTACTCATTGGTTTAGGAGATATGGGGCCAGGGCTGCGTTTCCCGATAACGTTGTCTCTTAGCTCGCTACGAAGACTCTAAAGATACACCTTAACTAGGGGTATACCTTTCCTAGGTCTGTTCCCCGAACTATACCTTAGGATACTGCTTAAGGTAAACCTTCTTACGTGCGACGTTAGCAGGTGCTGTCCATGGCGGTGGTGCTGAATAGGTTGATATCGATGGCTCGAGAATCGATTGTTCACTACAGGAGCTCTTTCACTGCGTTATAGAGCAGGTAAAGTATTGAGAAAGTGATGTTCATTATAAAGAAGCACTTTAGAAATATTAGAAATTGCATTTATCGGGGCTCACTGCATTTATAAAATAATCAAATTTCAAATTAAATGCAACCTTGGATATCGCATCCCGCAATGGCATGGAAGCCTTGATGTGCCTCCCTCACTTCGTGCCTGGTGAAAGGCATATAGGCTATGTAACCGGTGGCGTGACGGAGCAGGATGTTTGTGACTGAGTGAACGCACCGCCACACCAAGGTCTTACTCAGCCCATATCCATCCCAACCACCTCCAGAAAACTCCCCACAGCATAAAAACGGAAAGCCGCCAGCAGCTGAATTTCGGGGCTTAGGGGGTAGCTCCGTCGAGTTTGTCTTGACAAAGTTAGACCAACAAGATGTAAAAGCTGCTGAATTTACTCCCGTGGCAGGCGACATTTTTGTAGAATTGTATCTTTTGACATGGTAGCTATTCTGACACTATTATGAAATAGTGCACATATACTAACTGGCTCCGCGGACGCAGTTGTCTTTGATTTAGGACAACTATTCGCTGTCTTGCTGCCATAGTTTGACCAAACTCCCCATCACATTCATTCCCTTTGAAGCGATAAGGTATAGCTAAGAGTGGTCCAGACTAACCTTACGAACGAATGATTTACGGAAGGTATACTTAACTAAGAACGTTTCGGGAAACACATATTAACGTAAAGGTACAACTTAAGGTATAACTTACAAACGACGTAGCGTTAAGAAGGTTTCGGGAAACGCAGCCCTGATTTACTAAACGCTTACGCCAGCGCAAACCGTCTTTTGGAGGTAAAATAGTACTGTCAGGATTTACTAAAGACGCACAGTGAAGAATTAGCACTGAAAAGTGTGGACAGTCATTTTTGCACCTGACCTTATTGAATATGCATTTGTAGGAGTTTCCCTTTCAGATGCGAAATTTATGGGAGGAGAATATTAAAATGAATCATGAAACACAATTTACTAATGTTTTCGCTCATCAAATTACTGGTATTTGCACCGTTATTTAAGGCTCCAAAAAGCATGTCTTAAAGCAGACGCTAATTTGTGCTGCTCTTGGTAGATTATGTTGGTCATTATGGAAATTATCTGGCTGCATCCGTGTTATTTAATTTGCGCATTGTCAGTAAATCACCCGCAGAAATTTCCACTCCCATTAGCACTTTTTTGGGAATTGCGCCCTCACGCTAATTTACGTAATGATTTACGTCGTATCATTGTTATACTGATGATACTCAGCTTTACATGCCATTTAGGCGCAACGACAGGTCTTCCATAAATCAATTAATAGCCTGTCTCCAAGAATTGAAAACATGGCTAACCAATCATTTTCTACACCTTAACGATGACAAAACACAAATTGCTCTGTTTGGGCTCTCTCACTTGGGCTCTCTCACTCCATATCGCTCTTTTGATGTCAAGGATCTGGGTTTTATTCTGGATAGTGGCCTAAATCTGAACAAACAAATCTATTCTGTTGTCAGTTCTAGTTTTTATCACCTTCGAAGATTATCCAAAGTTAAACCCTTCCTAAGTATGAATGAATGAATGATGCATTTATATAGCGCTTTATTGTGTATTGTTGTACACCCAAAGCGCTTT